AGGTCTCTCCCACTCCAAAGGAAAGAGCAGCTGTGCTCACACCATGCCTGATACCAAGATTCTTGTCCCCTATAAATAGGTATGAATCTGTGGATGACCAAAGTATCAACACTCCTAAAAGAATTCAGCACAATCTGACTATAGGGGGGAAAAATATCACAGAAAACTGTGTAGAAGATTCTAAGAAAAGCACATTGTTTTATTCCTGCTGGGGAAGTTTGTCAGGATGAAAGAATTTAGAAGATTCAGTGGTTCAAAAGAATAGGGGGATGAGTAAAGGGGCATGGAGCATAGTAAAATTCAGGGTTGATTGTGGTAACCAGACAGTGAAAGGAAAACCATAATCAGGTGAGGGCGTTCTCAGCTGGAACATGAAAGCCAGCAGCCAGTGCAGGGAATGAGTTCTGTTCAGAGCCACAGGCATCTGCTTTGGCGCTCTCTGTGCTTCCCAGTAATGAAGGCTGTGAGTACAAGAATGAAAATTATGCATATGTCGGTGTGATTCTGACAGCAGCAACTTCTCCACGAGCTGCTGAGTGCATGGCTGATTTTGCTGTGAGAAAAGCTGCCTGCGTGCCCGGGTTTCGGAGCTGTCGTGTGTGACACACAGCGATCCCCTGGCGAGGAAAGGGTGAGCAACCAGCAGAGCCAGCACTCCTCACTCCCCCTTCCCCACTCAGTTTCAGAAATAATTATCATGCTCTGCCTAATTGTGATTTCTGAGATCTTCATTGTCTGGTGTCATTCTTTCAACAGGAAGATTTTTATGGTGGTATAAAGTGGTGGCAGAAATGTACATTTAAATCAGCTTTGAACCTGACTGCTGTAGCTAATGTGTTATGACTAGAACATTCTATACAGAAAGAAAACACCATTATCATACTTAGAATCTCTCAGGTATATTACCATAATCTTTCTTTCTAAATAAAGAGAGGGAAAATTACTCTGGTGCTGGTTATAAATTGTGAATCCTGACAGGAACTCCTTGAAGGCCTCAGCAGTACAGGCCTGCTTCCCCTCATCCAGCTAGAACCATTTTGTGTTTTTTCCTAGTCAATACAGCAGAATCTGTAAGTACCATTTTGGAGACACAGGCATTGAGGGTGTGGATTTCAGTGAGAGATAAATTTCAGTTAAAAAAAAATCATCCAGTTAAGTTGTGGTCATGGCCAAAGTCAGGAATTTTCTGTGTCCTGGTGATTCTGAGGTTAATCTAAAAGTAATTAGGACCTTCAATCATGTGATAACCTTCTGTTTCACTGGAATATCATTCTCAGTGCAGTCTGAATTACCCCTGTTTAGCAAATTGTGAACAGCAAATAGCCATCATGAAAAGCAGATGAATCCAGCCTTGAACCAGCCTGGCAAGGGATTCTGAGAGCAAAATTTCAATAAACCAGATTTGCATACTCAGGACCTAAACTGTTCTGTCTGCATGGATGTGCAAAGGCAAGCTGACAAGTGTTCCTAAAGTATATTCAAATTACAGCATTTCAGGAGCAAAAGAACAAACTGATTACAGTGTCTGAACAAGGTTCAGAGCATGGAGATGGGGAGAAATGTCATTCAGCAACTCGGATAAAACAGGATGTTTATTTTCTGAATAGTAAATGACAGCATGATTTCCTTAACAAAATATTCATGATTTCTTGGAATTACTCATAAAGGGTAGCTGCAAAGAGTAGAGACTGCAAAATTATGTATCATTCATGCCAATTTCCCAGATATTTTATTTAGGTCGGAAAGTGCAATGCCAGAATAAAATATAATAGCAGTAAATATCAGAGGCATTTGTTAGACCATCTCAATAATTAGAGAATGTATTCCCATGAGAGCAGAATCCCAGTAATGTATGCAAGCAGGATGTTTGAAAACAACCCTCTTAATAAATGGAGTTGACAGAAAATACACTGCAAAAGGATTATTGGCAGAGGCATGGAAAGTAAGAGATTTGGCAGTAACTTTAAGAACACAAATATGCATCACTCAAGGGAGAAGATTTCTATCTGGGGAACAAGCTGTCTTTGTAAACAGGATTATACCCAGAACAAGCATCTGAAAAACATAGATCAATGCCATCAAAGAAAAAACTGCATCCAACAGAAATGAGGGATAGAAGGAGAATTTCGGTGGCAGTTTCTTCAGCTTGTTGATCTAAACAGTTAAATTTGTAAAATCGAGTTTCTATCATTTTTGAGAGTAATTGTTTATTTAATTGTTGCATTAACCAGTCATTTTGCCTCTCTCTGCCCATAACAGATGTTCATTATAAAAACTGAATACATTAAGATGATTACATTATTCAAACTCTTTGATAATTCATTTGTATTAAAACCATAAGACTCTGTTGACATTTCCCTAGGGTACATTTGGTGAGGTTAAGCAGGATAAATGTCACAGTTAGTAATGCTGTTAAGATAAAAACCTTGCAAAGGAACTACATATTATTTTTCTGCTTCATGGTCCTTAACAGCAACTTTTAGAGCTATATTTCCTTTTTAAATGATGCATTACACCTTGAAAAGTAAAATAAAAAGACCTGAAATTATGATTCTTGCTCATTTCCTCAAGAATAAATGAATAGAGGAGGCGAAATCTTAAAGAAGTAGGCTTGATTTTTCTAAAAAAGTTTGGAAATAGAGTGCTCTGTTAAAGCATAATGGCCCTGGTGAGACGTGGTGTGGAAGAATGTAAGATGTGCATTAATTTCAGTGAAAATGCCCCAAAAAAGGGAAGTGAGCCATGAAATCTCAAATAGAGCACAGGCATCAATACTTGAGAATTGCCTCAATACAGAGCGTTGTGTAGCTGCAACTGGAGGAAAAATGAGACTGGGGTGACTTGCAGAGGTCCCTCATTTCGACCTCCTTCTCAAGCCAGGGCTAAGTACTGAGATTAAATCAGATAAAACTGTGCTCAGTCAATTTATATTAATAAAATTTTGGGCGTAATTTTGGGCTGGCCATGGCTCCTCCAGGCAGGTGGAAGAGCTGCTGGTGCCCAGGCCCCTGAGGCTGGGGGCTGATCCGTGATTTCCATCCATCCCAACTCCCCAGCTCTCCCATGAACCCTTTCCATGATGCTTGAGTGGATTCCTCCCTTTGGATCAACTCTTTTTCACTGGATCCCAGCACAGGACAGCGTTTGCCTCTCCCAGTTTCCCCTCTAGAGAATGGCAGTGCCTGTGAGTATTCTCAAATATTAACTTTATGCCATTCCATTAATCTCAAGGCTGTTGCTCATCCTTCAGTGAAATGTGATCATTGTAACACTGAATTGTTTATGTTTCAGGTCCTAGAGATTTTTCTTCAGTCTTTGTTCAAAAGCATAAAAAGATAATCAAGTATGACTTATGAAAAGAATAATTGCAACAGCTCCAGTTGGCAATAATATTAGATGGATGTAGAGGAATATAAAATGTTTTGCTTATTTTTTAATTCAGCAAAATTAATGATATCTGCCTAATAATGAAAGTTAATTTGATACTGTTCAGCTGTTATGTGGGGGTTTTATGTTTGATTTGATTTTTGTGTCTGGATCATGTCTAATAACAGAATTAAAATTTAATTATTAATATTATTGATTATAAAATAAGTGACAATTTTCTAGTTGTCTTTAATTGCAATATCTTTTACTACACTGAAGAGAAACGAAGTTGGACCTGAAAAATAATTATAATTATTAATAAAAATTGCTCATAACGCATTCATTTCATGAAAAGAGAGCCACAATGTCAGAGGCTAAAAGATTATCAACCAGAACATCAAGAAATGAAGTAGAGCAGTTGAATACTAAAGGATCCCTGGAGATCTAATCAACCTTGACCAACCTCAAGGGGGTCAGTTTGCTGTTTAAATTTGCACCTGGTTCCTCTTGCCCTGTGTCTGGGTACCACTGGGAGGAGTTTGGTCTGAGCTGCTCTCACCAGGTGTTTTTGCACACTCCATGACCCACCCCAAGCCCTGACTCCTTGGGGATGAGCAGTTCTGATGCCGTGGGATTTGAGCTTTTATATTTTTAATGTATTTGTAATCCTGCAGTTCTTTGGTGTGTAACTCTGAACTCCATGCACAGTGTGAGCTGCTGCTCTCCCATTTGGGGCAGACACAACAATTCCCCTCCAGGCCTGGCAATCCAGGACACCTCACTGCCTCAGAGCCTGAGAGATGTAAAACAAAAGTGAGTTTGGGGCAGCAAATTTGGGGTGAATGACTTCATTACATGAAGCTGTAATTGGAACATTAACCCCCAATATTCAAATGAGCCAAACTTATAGAAGTATGAAAACCTTCATCGTGACCCATCATCCATTTTTGGGTGTAGCCTCTGGGGGGCTTCATCTGCCCCAAAAATACCTGAAGGCCCTTGAATAAATATCACTGTTTTTTATTCCCTTAATTCTGTCTGGCCTCTGTTTTAGGTAGCCCCAAAAAGGCACCAGGACCAGCTCTTCTCTTCTGGTGTGGGAGATGCTCCATCCCCTTAATCCCCTCCTGGTCCCAGGATGGCCCTGTCTCTCCTTTACTGGGGACCCCAAAATTGCACAGAGCTCTCCAGAAGAGACTGAAACTTGGAGAAACTTTAGGAAACTTTGGTAGCTCCAGGTACGTTCTCTTAAATTAGCACTTTGTACTTTTAAAAGTGCAACTTGCAAATTTTAGCTGAAAAGCGCCGGTAATGTAAACCCAAATTATTCTCTGCTGTAAAAATGCACTTTGCTGATATTTGGCAGTTTTATTCCTGCTCTATCAGTTTTGGAAATTGATTTCTTTTTTATGTTTAGAGCATGCAGATGTTCAGGGATACTGGGGAAACCAAACACACTGCAAAGTTAGTGTAGGAAGAAACTTATGATAAAAAATATTTCACACATGACTTTTTCAAGGATATGGGGAATGCTTTAAGGACTATTTTGATATTTTCAGGGCCTTAAATTAAAAGCATTTGACAATTTCAGTAATCACCATGATCAGAAGCAAAGAACTATGTAATTTAGGTCAGAGACAGGGAAGCAACTGGAGCATCTGTTCCTGCAGTAAGTGTTCAGATTGGGAGGAACAACTTATTCAGTATCATTGTGAAAAACTCTTTGATATTGGGGGAAAAGGTAATTTTTTTCATATAAAAAGCTTTCTTTATAGGAAGTTGTAAAAGCAAGTATTTATTGCTCTTCAAAGACTTTACAGCGCATTTTCAAAAAATTAACAGGAAGTTTGTAAAAACAGCTAATGAATATAGATTTTCAGGTCTGTACGTATTTTCAAAAACAGAAAAGGAACATGTAGATGCACATGACAGAGAACTGCTCATGGAAAAGCAGAGCTCCAGAGGTAAGAGCTGTTCCTGCTGTCCCACACCCTGGTTCTGTGGGGAGATCTGGATCCCCCCATTCACACCTGGGCCCTTTGCTCACCCCTTTCCAGCACAATCTGCCTGTGCAATTGTCATGGAATGGTTTGGGTTGGAAGGGGCCTTAAAGATCATCTTGTTCCAAATTCCTTGCCTTGGAAAAGAACATTTTCCACTAGAGCAGAGTGTTCCAAGCCTTGTCCAACCTGGCCTTGAACACTTCCAGGGTTAAATGAATTTATTTCCATATTATTTCATTGGGGTTACACTGCACGTGGCGAAAACCAGCAGTAGTGATGATCCATGCCAGATCCCTAAATCCCCAGAGCTCATTCTGCTGGGCAGAATTCTGCTCTGTTGTAGGCCAGTAGTAGATCCCTTACTGTGAAGTAGGAAGTTTTGCAGATTATTTTAATTACAGAATGAGCTTTCATGGTGAGCAAAGTGAGCGTTGCCTTTGAAACACGCTCATGCTTTGTTGCTGTTAATAACAATGGTGGTCAGAGGTTCATCTGCCAAAGAATGAAGCATTTCCCAGTGTGCATTACACAGCTTTTTATCAAAATCCCTCAGCCCACAGGCAAACCTGGGCTAAACTCTTTGATATGTAGCTTGGATTGCAAAGTAGGATGCAGCAAAAAAAAATTAAAAATAAAATAACTACTCCATCCCCCCAACCCTACACATAACTTGTGCTTACAGGTTATTCAATTTTAAATCTTTCAGCATAAAAGCACTACAAGTTTATCACTAACTTCTGCCTCTCTTAATAATTCATCTGCTTTGCAGTTGTCTGGGTTTAATTAGCTGCTTCTGCTCCGGTGTTCTGGTGTCATGTTGTCTTTTTCATTAGATCTCTCTCCTTCATCCGTGTTAGATGTTTGCACATTTCCTGGCTTTAAGCAATGTGGGCTATAATTGGAATCTAAAGTTGGAACATGTCTTCAGTTACCATTTTGTTAATTCTTTTTATTTTCCTGTCAAAACTGTATGCTATCATGTATTCCCAATGAAGTGAGAGAGAAGTCAAAGGTAATCCACATCAGCTCTCTTGCTTCTAGCAAAGGGTTTTGTCTTTAGACTTGTTTTCTGTTATAAATGTTCTGTGGAAATATCCATGCTATTTTGAGTTGAATCTTTTCATAGAGACTACACACAAACAAATTTTAAAATGCTGGAGGCTTTTAAAGTAAAATCAAATGAATCAATGGTGATTTTATCAAATTTTCTGCAAGTCTTTTATCACTCTTTTCCCTGTCACATATAAATGTAATTTCAATTTTTTAAAAGAATATTGAGGTTGGATTTTATTAGTGTGAACAACTGAGTTAAGTCCTGTTAAAATTGTTAAGTAGAAAGGAGGAAAAGATAAAATAGAAGGCAGAAGCAGCAGTCTGGAAGAAGGAGAACGTGGTTGGAGACAGGAAGGGCAGTCCCAGCACAAAGAGAATTTATCAGGTGCATGGAATGGGCTTTGTTTTCCCATATGACATTTGCTTTGATTTTAAACAGTTATTTTTGGGGTTAAAAGATGTTGATACAGCAGTCATCAGCAAAGCTCTGGTCTTAAGGAGCTAAATTTTGGGGGATTTAAATAAAAAAAGTAATGGAGATGAGACTTGTTTCACAAGGTAAGGGCAAAATGGTATTCTGCCCAGAAAGGATTGGTTCCATCAGCCTTTCAGGTAAGGTCTGGGCTCCTGTAGGTGCTCTTGAGGTTGGACATAGCTACAGGGGATTATTCTGCTGATCCAAAATCATGCCACTTTCAGAAGTAAGCTAGAAATATTTTAATATCCTTATTCCATTTTTTACTATTTTTCATCTGAAACAACTTTTCAAACATATGGTTCATTGTTCTGTGTAACAGATTTTGTGTACGATACTTATTTGTTACGTGTTGTAGACTGTAATTAAATAAAGAACATTCAAAATATGGGAAAAAAATCATGAAAATCTCTGCTGCTGTCATGAGGATGACATGATCTTATAGCTGAGAACTGAGAATGAAATGGCTGCCATGGTGGAGGACACATTTGGATTTTGTGAAGGTTTGCATAGATCTGATACAACAAATTAACAACCAGCTGATGTTCTGCAGTGCTGCTTGAAAGGGCTGGGTTTGATTTTTAAAAAGTGTTTGTGTTGTTTTGTTGTTTTTTTTTTTCCTGAAACAGCCATTAAAATGAAATTAATTGCAATGACATGCTTGCCATTGGATGGGAGCTTAATCTCAGCAAGTGTTTGAGAATTCCTTTTGAGCTGGAAAGGAGCTGAGCCATCAATGTCAAGTGCAGTCCCCAGTGTGTCCCCTCTGTGTCTGTGCAGTCCCAGTCCCACCCCAGGATTTGCTCATTCTGACCAGAGCTCATTGCAGGATAATTCTTTTTCCATGGTTCCTAGCTTTGTCTTCTTGACAATTCCTACATTTTATTTGATTCTAAATCATCTCAATAACAAATCATATTTTGCCCAAAAAATCACTCTGAAGGGTGCATTCCTTACATTTTTGTGGTTTGCTTCAGCTCTGTGTCCCCTTGATGTTCTGCTCAGAGTCCTTCACCCTGTTTCAGGATCAATTTTGTTGTATAATAGAATTAATGAAGGCAGTTTCACCATCAGCTTCTGCTTCCCAAATGAGAACTTGCAAATGGCTTGATTTCTAATTTTATTTCATTTTTTTAAACGAGTTACTTGAATTAAGACTATAGGAAAGATAGCTTAAGGAGGTTGTGCATGCATGGGGGATTTTTTAATTTCTTAAAAAGAAAATCTTGAATTGATTCCAGTTGAATTGACTGTTTCATCCTGAGATATTTATAGCTCAATTACATGAGGTAAGTTTTTGGGTCAATATTACAATGCAAAAGGATCAGATAGGCTGAAATGTATATATTTTAAACTGTGACATGCATGCTGAGCTCTCTTTATTAATAGTTTATTTCTGCTGGACAGTCACCTATCCTGGAGCCAGCATGGAGGTCTAAGATAAAACGAATCTTCACAGAGAAATAAGTTAGAATGCCAAAAATAATTCTTTGCAAATGGTTTTTCATTATTTAATCAGTTGCTACCTAGATTTAAAACCCCTACAGGAAACAAATGTAACATAAGTTATGTTAATATATATTGCCCCATTAATGGGCTTTAAATAACATCGAGACAACTTTTATATGGGCTATCTATGAATAAAATTAATATGAGATTTTATTTAGAAGGAAGAATAATTCTGGTGGTAAATCAAACAAAGGAGTAGGGGAAAAAAGCACAGTTGTGTGTTGAATATAAATACAAAGAAAATTATGTGAGAAATAACGAAGACTTATTCTCTTTGTTATATGTTAAAGCAGAACGCCAAATGGAATAAGATTTTTATTTTCCAAAGCAGAAACTTGCAAAAAAAGTAGAAATAGGTGTAGTAAAAGATGCAGCTTTGAAACTTAGATAATTAATATTATAGTTAAAATGAGGCTTTAAAAAACACATTTAATGGTTGGGCAGTTTGGAGGATTCATTCTCCTTTCTGTTCATAAACCAGAAAAAATCTAAATGCATTTAAATTATAATTTTTTACAAGTTTCTCAGTTTCTTCATATACATATATAAGAAAGTACCTCCAATATATCTACCAAGGATGGTATATTGCATAAATATACCTGTGATGTGGAGTGAGGTGCACACACCCCCTTCTCCTGTTTGTACCCTGAGAGGACTCTTCCACAAGTCTCTCAAAAATGGTTTCAAATTTAAACTTTTTGGGAAATATTTTTACAAATATTTAAAAACTCAAGCCACAACGCTGTCTGAACACCATACTAAATATTATAGATACAGCCAGAGCTCAAGTTTCACTGAATGAGTGAAAATGAATTCATGTTACTGGGCAGCAATATCTGAATCAAGCAATTTTGGATTGTTTTTTTATTTCTTTTTCCAATGGCAAATAATTTTTGATTTTTAAAAAATCATCTGGAAAATAATAGAAACATTTTTAAGAGGTATTAAAACCAGAACAGAGGGATAGAAGAGTCCTTTCTTTTTAAGCAGTTGGGTTCTAAAGGCAGAAAAAGAGGCAGTAGCAAACTGGTTTAGAAGAAAACCCAGCCCAACTGAGGTAAGAATCAGAAAAGCAATGGTGGGGAAAGATTGCAAAGAGCATTCTCTGAGCCAGTGTTTTGTTCTGCTCCACGTTCTGTGGACAGATTTAAATGGATTGTTAATGTTATGGAGAGAGGAATTTTCCATTCTCTGTGTCGTTACAGCAACGGCGGCATCTGCACGCCCCGCCTGGAGCCAGGGCTGCCAGCAATGCCAGAAATTTGGGAATTCTGGAGGCACCACATTCCCCACTGGGCATTCACTGGACCAACAGGAGGGTGAGATATCAGCTGGAATATCAGAGAGAATGACCTTGGAGAATAACTCAATAGCCTCGGCAAATCCGCCGCTTTTCCAGTGAAACAGAATAAACAAAACCAGGTTGGTGGCTCAAGGTTTCTAATTCCAAAAGAGCAGACTGAGAAATTACAGAAACTAATTAGTGGAGTCAACGTGATTGAAGTGCCAGGGGACTGAGTGTGAAGGAGCTTTGGAATCTGGAGTCAAGGCTTCAAAATCTGTTTGAAGTGCGCCACAAACAAGGAGGCAGCAATTTACAGGAAATGGAAATGGCTCTTCAACATTTGCTTAAAACCCAAATGATCCAGAAGAATCAGACAGCCAAAAGGTGAGATGGAGCTCATTTTCAGAGAGGTCTTTATTGGAATGGTTAAGGTGGAATAGTTCTCCCACAAAATCAGGCCAAATTGTGCCATACAAAGGACATTTCGGTTAGGGGAAATCAGCTACAAAAATTTCATTGAAAGAAATCAGTTTGATGAATCAGATTTTTTAATAAATTTGATTTTCCTAATTTCTATGTTTTGAACCTAATTTTAATGAGAATAATGAGGTTATCTAAGGCATGTTAGTGGCAGGTTTGAGTGATCTGTGCCTTTCTGGCCTCAGAACAGCATTAAATCTGTCTTTCTGCCTCCTATAAATGTAGAGATGAAACATTCAGACAAATAAACTTCTGGGTAGTCAGAGCAAACAAAACAAATTCAGATATTTCTGCAGATTATTTTTACAGTAAAAGAACAGCTGTTGGAGCGATTCATGATGTGCTTCATATATCTCTAATGACAATAAAATGAATTTTTTATTTACTTCTCTATCATTTATAAAGAGTTTTTAAACTTAATTACAAATATTTTAACAAGCCTTTCCTTCAGAGGGTCCCATTCCTTAAATTTTTCTCTGGTGTCTTCATAAGTGTAAAACTTGATGGATTTGGAAGTTACCATGTTAGAATAAGGCATCTTAACCATAAATTCTGTATTGTAATGCAGGATGTGAATTCATATCCCACTTACCTTGTCTTTACAACATGTAGTGAGTAATATATATTTTGGCATATGTATGTTAATCGTAAAACCAAGCTTTTAGGATCTCTTTTAGTATCTTTTACAGTTTTGTGGATTCTCCCTTATGTAACCAGCTGGTTTTTAGGGGTGCATTTCCTGCAGATTTACAGCCAGTGCAGTGGAGTTGTCAGGAGCAGCTGTCACTGCGAAACATCCTCGTGTACCAGGTATCAGAGGAATCGTTGATAATTTGAAATTTTAATATTTTAAAGCAGTATGTTAGGTCACACATTATTTAAAGCACTCAGATTTGTCACATTTGTGCCTTTTCTTCTGCTGCTTCTGAGTCCCCAAATCCTGCAGCTGCTGCTGGCAAACAGATTTGCTCCCCAGCACCCTGGCCTTGGCTGCTCCACCTCCAGCTCAGAGGTTCTTCTGGAAAAGGTGGATTTATTAAGGATTGTCTGTCTTCTCAGATTCCTTAACACATAAAATTTAAAATGCAGGACGTCCTTGCTCATGTTTGCAGAACAATAATTGCATATATTTGGTTAATTTTCAGTCTTTCTGTCCTAGTCAAGCAAAACCCCTTTAATCAATATTTCATTAGTATTTGAAAGAATATTGGTCTATAGGGGAAAAAAATCAAGGTTGGACAGTGGATTTAGCAGTTATTAATCAAATGATTACTTATTGCTTTAATTAGGAGAGAATAAGAAGGTGTAGAGCTGTGGTTTTTGACAATGGGATTATTCTCCCACTTCCTGCTGGGGCAGAGTCAAACACCCCGGGACTGTGGCACTGCTGTTATTCTGTTATTCTGTTATTCTGTTATTCTGTTATTCTGTTATTCTGTTATTCTGTTATTCTGGAGCTTTTGTCTCAATGGCAGCACCGAATGCTTTATGGGCTAAACGCAATCTCCCTGTGAATAATAAATCTCTGTTCCTCCAGCGCCAGCTCTGACCTTTTCTGACTGAAATTGTAACACATCATCCTAAAATAACGTGGGTGTGATGGAGAATCACCTGCCCTGGGATGAGTGCTGCTACACAGGGATCCCTAAAGAGCTCTGAGCAGCTACAAATGGGTGACACCAACCTGGCAAACCGTCCTGGAAAAGCAGCAATAAATCCGTGTTTCCAACAGGGCTGCTTCTGGAAATCTCTCCAGATACAAAGGAGCAAGGGTGTGGTGAAATTCTCACACGTGGTGAGTGTTCTCTAAGGCAAACCCACGAGGTTCTGCTCCAGGAAATGCTGATTCCATTGATATTAGTCTGTATAAATATTGAAATGAGGCCTGTCTTTAAAGATATTGATGTTTTTTTCAGATTAACTGGTTTGGAAAGCTCTCTACTCACAGCAGATTTTTTTAAAAGTAAAAAAAAATATTCTGGGCACTTCCTGATTTCATTCTTTGCTCTGAAATATTATTAGATTTTCATGCAATTTTTATCCCCTATGAACAGGTGCTGAGTATGTGAAGAATTTCTTTGGATTGGATTTCTTACTTTGGAATATTTTATTCTCTTCATGAAATCTTTTGGAGTATGGATTTTTTACAAGGTAGTGACTGTAGTTGTTTTATTTATAGCAAATTCCAGATAACTATAGAAGTTCAAAGAAAGTACTTGAATTAAAGAAAAAATAGGAATTATTACATATCTCTGTTGGACTCCCAAACTTATTCTATGGTATTTCCATTTACCCTCCCACTCATGTGTGTATATATACATAGATTTTAAAATATTATATATAGTATGAAAAAAACCCATTTCTGCCTTTCTTCCACATGTGTTATTAGTAGTTTCTGTCATTTAAAGCACAGTCATTTAGTTCTCTGTGCAAGCTGATCTATATGAACTTTATAAAATATCTATGGCTTGGAGAACTCTCATGTATGAGTTATGAAAGGAGGCACGGGGAAATTTTTCCTTTCCTTTTCTCCCCGCTCCATCATGTCATGCTTGCAGTTAACCTTTACTTATTTAATCCTACTTTAACCATAATTGCATATTCTCTACTCCATTCATTTGGCATCATTCAATTTTTGTGTGATCTTCCCATTTTTGCAGTATTGGAAAGTAATCTAACCAAAGTTTCAAATGTTTCTTCTGCTCGCATTATGACACAAGAATAAAAAATATCACCAAGGAAACGGTAGACTTCAGAGACAATTTATTCTTTTAAGTCAGACCAAAGTTTAATTTAGATGAAAATCCTGGAAGACATAATTCCTCACAAAGTCAGTAATGTTCTTCTCATTACCTGGTAATGATAGTCTAATTCTATCAAAAGGAATTTTTAATAATATAGCTGCATGTCTGAAACTTAACAATTGAGAATGAAGATGACACTATCCAAAAGCTTAAGAAAACACATTAACTGAAGCTAGAATAAATCACCAACAAAGAACATTGTCATTTTCTCAGCTAATATTTCACCCTTCTAGCCTCATCCCAATATAGCTTTTACATTTTTAGGTAGCGGCACAGAAGTGATGGGCACATCCAAGCACACAGAAGGGCACTGGAGGTGACTTTTAGAAGTTTCCTCCACCTTCTGAAGTTCTTCCTTGTGTTCTTTGTAGCCATCAAGTGCCATTCTGCTTTTCTGTGTAGCTTTGCCATGTTAAATCCTGTTTTATCAGGAATAAGATCCAATTTCTGGATTTGTGCATTGTCCATCCTGCTGTGTCTCCAGTTGGTTGGTGACTGATTAAACCACACTAGAGTGGTCACAGCTCACCTTCTGCAGAGGACATTCTTAAAAAAGCTTTGTTCTGAATTTGTGTTTAGGATACAGATCTTTATCTCTTCATTGAAATGTGGGGATACTTCAAAAAGGAACCCAGAGTTTTGTCTTAAAAATTCCCTTAGTCTTGTAAATTTCCTTGCAGCTCAAATGTGACCAGATTCCAAAATTTTTGGTTTCTACTTCAGCTTATTAATTTATATCATTAACTGCATTCCTAGGTTATGAATTTCAGCCTGAGTTATAAAAAATTTGTTACTCTCCTCTAAGTGCTAAAACACACTTGGAGAAACAGGGAAATATATTAAATCTTTTATCTTCAGACTATTAAAACAGTATTTGTATTTTAGCATTTTACCTCTTACTATTATTTTTCCTTTCTTGCCAGCAAAATATGGCAAGGAAGTTCTTGTTCTTATATGCTTTTTGATTATTCTTCCATACATTGAGTTAATAGGAAAAAGGCTGAAAGTTAACTTTTCATTTTACGTTCTTTTAATAAAGAAAATAAATTTTGTGATTCATTTTATGGGCCCTTAGTAGTGTTATACATGTTGGCTGCAGCTCAGAATCAGATGAATTTTCTGTAGAATCACAGAAATTTCACCTTAGACTTTAACCCATGATAAGCAGATTCTAATAGTATTCATTCTAAAGATTGGCTTTTCATCTTAATTTTGCCCAATTCTATGGCAGCAAAATTAAACATAAATTTCTAGCAAATAATTTGACTTTTTTGTTGTGTTATCCTGACCATATAAATCTAAATTTTGTTTGGCTGTAATGCAATCTCCGTCCATCCATCCATCCATCCATCCATCCATCCATCCATCCATCCATCCATCCATCCATCCATCCATCCATCCATCCCCTGCATGATTTAAATAACTCACAGACATCTTTTCACAAAGGGGAATGCTCAGCCTCTTGACAATGTCTGTCCCTTGCTTTCGAAATGGAATAATCAGAAGTGAGAGGAAAAAACCAGAAGAATTTATTGAAATAACGACAGCACTCCTTAATGAGTGTTTTGCAGATTTGTAGATTTCTGTGATTGTGATGGCTCTTCTCATATTCATGTCTCAAGAAGTCTTTGCTTGATCACAGAATAATTCATGAAAGAGCTCAGGAGAGACGAACCACACATCTCTGAAAGGTTGCAGCCTAAACATCTGCTGGAGCCTGTAAATTCGAGTAAAACCTGCAGGACTGATGCTGCAATCCTTTCCCTTTATAAATTCTTATTTTTCAATAAGTTTCATGACTGAAACCTGCATCTGTACTTACACAGAAAACATCGTGGGTGTCTGGCAGGTTTCCAAGCTGTTTATGAGAGAGCACTGCTCAGAGGAAGATGTAAAAAATGATCCAAGGGAAGGAATGATGCTTGATTGCAGTTTGTACATAAACTTTCAAGAGGTGAAATTCTAAACCAAATATTGTATGGTGAAGCATGACCTGCCTGTGTGTTGATTGTAGTGTTGTTTCACTGTATATATTACGGAGTTTGCAGCGTTAGTTCCCATATGTATTTATGAAACAGCTAGCCATGGCTGAAGATTTGTAACAACATAAGAAATCAAGAAAATATAATAAGAAAAAAACCCTGAAATGTATTGGAAAATCATACATGTCATAATTTTGGGGTTTTTTACATGCTGTTTGCCCTAATATTGAGTGATCTATTCTAATTCCAGGTTAGGAACAGTGAGTGAGATTTACCGATTAGTGTAATTTTTGTTCTTTTCACAGGAAAATTGTGTGTTGATATTGGAGGGCACATCCCAAAGAACAATGTCTCACATTTGTAGCTGGGGGTTGGTTTTATACAACCTGGAGTTCCTCAGAAGTTCATTACCCTGTCTTAAATCAGCTCCTGAGAGAGGTGCCCTGGTGAAGGAGCTTTTGCAGTTCCTACACTAGAGATCTGTTTCCTCACATATAAAAACAAATGCCATGTAGTTTTGACACCCTTTGCTGTCATACACAGTGCAAGGACCTTTTCTGCTATAAAATATTCATTGTGGTTAACTTCTGACAAATAATACCCAGACTGAAATATCCAGCTATGGAAATAATTCAAGCAGTGACCTGGAAGGAGGCTTTGTTCTCAGTCCCTCTGTCCTTTGCTTGAACAGAAGTGATACTAACACAAAAAATATCACTTGTTTAAAGCTGTGAAAGCAGAATTAGGAGTGTGCAGACTTTTTGTGGCAAAACTGGGCCATATTTCTTCCTGCAACATTATGAATGCCTGAGCCAGTTGAACTAACCAGGGTTATCTGAGGGGACAGTTGAGATGATGATCATGGGGAAAGCAATCAGAGAGATTTCCAAACATCCTTGATTAGTAGAGGGCAAATACATTATAAAGGACATAAATCTAAGAGGAAGTTGTTGTGAAATGGGAAACTGCCTCAGCAGCAAGAGGCTTGGAAAATCAACTTTGGATTTGTTATAGTTAAAAGCCCTGAGGCTCTCTGCCTAGCACACATATGATATGGAGAAATGTAACAGATGCTTCACTGAGGGACTGGAATGTAAATCAGTGTAGGAGCATTAATCTGTGCAGAGCTGAGCGTGGTTTTATTCTGAAGAAAAACTTCTGAATTAGAGAAGTTAAACAAATGTGATTTTCCACTCATTCCACTGTGAATTGCATAAGGTTTTATAACAGGAACAGTTCCAGGAGGAAGTTATCTTTGTTATCACTCTATCTGTGTGTGGATGGCATTGATTCAGTAAATTCCAACTGGATACAACTAGTTTTTGTAAACACCCCTTATTCTCCATTATTTGCTTAATCAGCCAAAAGTTTCCCTTTCTGTGAATGTAAGAAATAGAAATATATTTTAATGTGATGATTGACATCACATCGGCAATTGTGACCCTTCGCTGCCTCAGAAACCTCTGTGTTCACAGGGCCACAAGTGCAATTTCAGAGGTTTTTCATTAAATATTAGCACCCCTAAAAAACACTTATTGTAAAATTGTAGAGAAACAACAATTTTAGATAAAATTATCTCCATTGTTAAATTCTGAAAGTCATATATAAAAAAAGAAATTATGCATTTCTATTTTTTCACTCTTCAGCCGTGTTACAAACCCTACCTCTTGTCTTCTTTCACTCTGCTTTCTATTTTAGTTTCTAACAAAATAACTACGACTGTTACTGTCCTCAAAGCACTCGAAGTCCAGAAGTGTGACAAAAATTTGCACTTGCATTTGGTATATTTTGAGGCCTGTTAGTGTTTTTGGTAACATCTCCAAGAAACTTTACTGTTCTTTTCACCCATTATTGAGAATTCTATATTTATTCTCAGCATCATCAGTTCAGTGTATCCTCCTTTTCATTTAAGTTAGCTTCTCTTCCTTAGTTTAGTCTTTTAAATTAGATTATAAAAAACAATATGTGTGTTTTAGCCTTGCTTTCAGAAATGTGTTTTAATTCCAAAATGGGGATATGATTTGTAGATTTAAAAAAGGTGCCATTTGGTTTTGTGTTATTTTTGCTTTGTTCCAATATTTTCCACATAAGTAGAAAAGAGTGGGTTGATTGAATTACTTGTTGAGCATGGTATTATTCTGCACAAATTATTTAAGAATGGGCTAGAGTGAGTCATTTTGAGGTATAGTAACACTAGAAATGGGAAATTAATGGCTAAAATAATATACATTCAACACTTTTGCTTAGGGGTGCAATGACAAGAGGAAAGGTTAAGATGGAAGCATCTAAATGAAAATGCATGAGTTCCACAGCTTCCTGGAAAAGAATGCCAACAGAATACTAAATGCTTCCTTTTAAATTTCTTTTTAAAGATTGTGTGTATTTCTATCCAATTTTATATCATTAGTTCAGAATTAGGAAAAACCTTCATAAAAATACCACTGGGGTTTTTTTCTTGCTTGAGGTTAGGATTGGAATCTTTTGCTTTGACCTTTTAAAATATGTTTCTCTTTATGTTTCTGTTTAGATTTCATATTCTCTCGAGCAATAACTAAAATATATCCATTCATCTAAAATCTATCCATCAAAATCCACACCTCATTAGTTCTTCTTGTCTTTGTCATATCTTAATCATTAGAATTAGCTTATAAAATGTTTGAGGATTGAAGAGCTTTCATTTGTTCAATTTGTAGAAAGGTGGTTTCTTTTAATAATCAAATTAACAACATAAGATTGTGAAATTGAGTATGAATTTCAGACAAGAATTTGTGTTTTAAAAAAGGCTGGGTATGAAGAAATGTCATAGCAGAACACCAGGCATTTTTAGAAAGAGAGGAAAATCTAGGTTGGGAGGGATCTCTGGAGCCCATCTGGTCCAACCTTCTGTTGAAAGGTTATCCCTGTCAGGCTGAGGCAGGGATAATTCCAGCAAGGAACACTCCACAACTCCTCTGTAGCTCATTCCAGGATTGCTGTTGAGACTTGCAATGAACTGGTTTCTCATTCCAGACCAATATTTCCCCTGAAGCAGCTGAACTCCATCCCCTCCTGTCCTCCATCACTTCTGGAGTTCCCTCTTAGGCCCTGGGAGTTTGGGATTGGTTTTTCCCTGGGCATTCTCTGCTTTGGATGAACAAAAATTCCTTCATGTTCCTTTCACCTGCCAAGCCCTCTTAAAGCCTGATTGTCTTGGTGTGTCTCTGCTGCACCTTTCCCATGGTTTATTGCCTCAATAAACCATTGTCATGGTTTATTGAAACTGGGGGATCGGAGCTGGACCAAGCATTCCAGGTGTGGCCTGGCAAGTGTCAAATGGGTTGGAATGATCACATCCCCTGATCTTTGGGATCTCTTTGGGATCAGATTCCCTGATTTCTTGCTGATGTGACCCAAGGTGCTGTGAACAACCCTGCCTGGTGTTCCTGGTCATGTTTATAATTCAAAAAAATCCCAAACTAAAAGCAAATTTCCAACATCAATGAATTCTTGCTTTCTCATATCCTACAAGATGCCTCCAGGCCTGAGTTTGGAGACATAACAGTCCTTCTCTATGAAAAAAAATCCAATTTATCTTTGTAAACCCACCTGAAGGCTTTAATTGAAAAAAGCAATACATCTCAGAATATGGTATTTATACAGTCCCCTTTACTTACACTTGTTAATTAATACTACATGCCATTGGGTTGTTTTTTGGTTTTTTATTTTGGTGAAGATTTTAAATCTCCTTTAGTAGTTGGCCAAAGAAAATGAAGATTTATTGATATAGTCTATTTACCCCCTATTGTATGTAACCTTCACACAATAATCAATCCTGTTAGGACTATGGATCCTGAGTCTACCACTCAAAGGTCAAAAGTGAGAAAAATTGATCATCTGTTGTATACCTGTATATCAAGATATATAGTCTTTCTTCAAGATGCCTCTCATTAACATTTCTAGAATAACATTCTTCTAATAGAGTTTTGTCAGCTGAAGTTTAAGATCCAAACTTTTGCACCAGAATTATACCAGAATTTAAAAATTACAGTTGGAAATCACAGCAAGCTATTTTTACTATGAGAGGAACCTGTTAGTTACAGAAAGAGAAATCAACCATTATGTCATTTGGAAGTTTTTACAATTAAAAGTTTTATTCCTAGAGGAACTGAAAGACAATTAAATGAAATGCTAACAACAAATTAAATGCTTTATAGGTCAGTCATCCCATTAGGTCTCTTTAGGGAAGCTGTTCTCATATAAAGCATGCCATAACCTATTTGCATAATGATTCTATCTTAACTGTGCCTTCTGCTCTTTTATGGTGTGTTGTTTATCCTAGTGCAGGGCTGATATAGTGGAATTGCAAAGAAAGTAAAAGCTGCTATTTATGGCAGGCAAAAGACTGCACCGTCCAGATAGATTATGCAGGACAGTACCCAAACTGCAAATATGATTTAACACACACAGACATTATTCTGCCCTCATTGCCGTGGCTTAATTGTTTGAATTATATATACACTGTTACCATCATTGTTTTCAGGAGATTATCCGCACAAAAGCAGCTCCAGCCAGTGTGGGGAAGCTTGTGAAAGAAAAGACAAGGTTGTCAAAGACACTGCTGATGGTCTGGGATTTTTGGGAAAAGCAAACCCCTTTCCTAGGGGAAAACCAAAATGTTCATCTCTGAATCACACTGAGACAAACATTCTTTCAAAATTTTGAGGGAAATAAATGTAATAAAATGAGCCTTGATTTCTGGCTTTGGATTATAGTCCAGTTGTTTACAAGATTGGTTTTGTCTCCATGGGCAGAAAGTGAGTAGCTAAAAATCTTGGTATGGAGTTGGAAAGCTCTGTCTTTTATTAACTTAATTTTTTTAAATTTTCACTATACTGTTTTCAAAATGTAGGAAAGAAACATAAACAATTCTATTAGTAGCATTTGAACTCACAGCAGCCTCAATTTACTTGATCTGCTGTGGGGAGTTTCTAAAGCTTATTTTTCCTTAAACCTGATTTTGTCCCTCTGGTTTTGTGCATCCTCAGAAAACTCATACAGAGTCTGGACGTGCAAAGTGTCTTTGTTTCACTGTCTGAACGGGACTTCTTGGATCCTAACAATATCAGCTGCAGGGGAAGGCTCTGGAGGCCTATTTTGCAGGCTGCAGGAGGAATTGCTGTGATAAAGCCATGGGATCAGAAGCCCTGAGGGACACAAACAACAGCTCCTTGCAGTTTGCCATCTTCAACCAATTAACTGCAGAGTCAGTCAATTGTCAGTTCCAGCACAGGGCCAGGGATTCAAGAGCAGGGCTGGAGCTCTGTTCTCAGTGGCAGATAACCACCAGACAGGTTTATTTATCATCAAGGCACACACCCTTTGTAGCAGGCTGTCCTAACAAGCTCTCTCAGTGCTGGGGACTGCCCTGCAGCATAACTTCCATCTGGCTTTTCACTCATCTTCAAACCTTTCAAGTATCTGACTAATTCCTGAGAAAAGTGCTGCCTTGCTCTTTGGGGGCTCTAAGAGAGTGGTGGAGTCTTCAAAAAGCCCAGGTACTCAAGAGTTCACAGAGTTTCAAAATCAGGTGAAAACTATTTATGGGTGTCTTTACCCTGGAGAAGACTCTCACATTGCTGAAAAAGAGAATATTAATTCTTCTTCATGCATCATATTGTTGTTAGCTTTTCTACTCTTGTGCTGATGCAATGGGATTTAGACTAAAGGAAAGGCAGTTTTAAACTCTGTTCTGGCATATGCTGCAAAATTTTATCTCAAGTATCTTGGCCCTGGAGTTGGCAGTACTGAGATTTGTCACTTTTTGTCACACTGCCCTGGATTCTGTGCCAGGACCAGTGCTGATCACATGGTTAAACTGATCCTGATGGTTTTACTAATGAAGGCTCTGGATTTTGTTCCTTAGGGAAGTCTTTCCCTGGATATGAACCTCTCCTGCTGCTGGCATTGAGCCTTGTTTCTCTCTTCCAGGCCTTCTTGAGATTATGTTGTCCACACTGCAGCCAAGCATGAGTCAGTATCAATTCCAGTTGGAAAACTCCAAGACTGGATGCAGAAGTACCAGGCACAGCCAATGTCTCTGTTGCTGTTAGCCAAAACACAGATCTATATATATATTTTGCCTGAGAAGTACCAGAATTTGGATTTGTCTCTGTACAAAACTCTGGAAGGTGAGAATTACATTTTACACTTTGCTTTAATGAATTATTTCCTTCCAACGAAATGTGTATTTCTCAGCAGGAGTATGACACTAAATGTCATGAAAATGAATTAAGCAATTTCCTCCAGAGACCTGAAATAACTTCCTTCTGCTACTAAGGAATTTCAAGGAACATCCTCTGGTGGACCTCAGCAAATTAAAAAGATGACATCTGCTGTTCTGTTGTCTCAGAACTTCTTCCTCTCAACATTTATTCAGTATTTACTTTTCCTTCTCGTAGCATGCAGATGTTTGCTGTAATTTTAGCTTTGGAAGAAAGTAAATCATGACTTTTTGTAGAATTAAAGGCATGATCTGTGGATGAGGTTAGTGGAGATATCTAAGGTGAAATGAGTGGGGATTCAATCTCCTGTAGACAGTGAACTTTGCTTCAAGAGCATCAAAATTAGACTTTCCTCACTCCTTTATCTTGGCACTCCTGAAATGGGTCTTGTGGCTTTACAGGTCCCTCCCTGCTGTGGCCCAAACTGTTCAGCAGTGAAAGGAGCATCTCTCTTGCTTTGAAATGTCCCCAGAGATGGAAAGTCCTGCAACCTGTAACACCTCCATCAGCCAGGACTGAGGTAGGCATTGTCTTCCCCTTTTTCTCTAGAATTCTAGAACATGACCCTTTGTGTTCGGTTTTCCTGGGTGGTGCTGAGTGTCCAGAGGTTTAAATAATTTCAGAAATTTATAAGTTCTAGGGCAGTGTTGCATTTGATCCACTTTCTGTCAGGGGATTTCACATTGGGTCCTTTAGAAGAAACTGTGGAAAATGGGGAGGGTCTCACCAGACCAGGAGATAAAATTGTATTTATTGGACTGTCATGTTTCATCATCACCCTGCCCCAATCAGCCTTGAGCTTCTGAGGCATCATTTTCTCTCTGCACATCATGGAAAGCTGTGGAGAAAACTCTCATTTCAAATTATGAACAGTGATGGAAGAGTCTCTTTGTGGTCGCCTACTTGTGCTATTCAGGATAGATGGGAAATATCAAAGAGAAAATATTAAGTAAATTAGAAGCATAGTTTCAAAAAAATCTCTTTTGCTTACCCAATATCTGATTGTTCAGCATTCTCTTATCTTCCCTAAATCCAGCATCCTTTATGCCAATGCGTTGTTGCATATTTATTGAACTACTTTTGATTATTTCTTTTTTTCTGTGTGAGTTCTCGTACATAAAACACCTGATTTTACTGAGGTAAGAAATAAAGGGCAAAAGAGGAAGAAAAATTTGCATATAAAGCACTGTCTGGGGCACATTCTGCTGGATTATGTGTCTTCAAAGGCTTTCTCTGGAAGTATATTACAAACAAGATTTCTTCCAAGTTAGAGTGATCCAAAGTACTATGTACATAAATTTTCTACAGCCAATTTAAAACAAGGGATGCTGGTTGAAGCTGTATTTTATCTACAATAATATTGTAGAGAATTATTATTGTAAACACATATCAGGATTGGTATAAACACCCAATAGGTTTAAAAATAGATTGTCTAGCAATTAATTATTTCCAGACCATCTCTGTAACAGTACATGACCCCAAACAAAGTTCATGCATGAGGTACCAGCATAGAATTATGTCTAAATTCTTGAATTTACTGAATTTGAAGCCAGAAATTTGTGTTGACACCTTAAAATTTTGTTACATTATGGCTGGTACTACAAAAAGAACGTTCTGCCAGGTTTTGATTCATTGTTATTAACACTTAGCACTCAAAGCAGCACATAAAAACACCAGGCCAAATGTTCCAGATCCTCCAGCTTTCCTCTGTTGATATCAGCAATGTCTTCCCAGTTTTAACACACTTCATTAATGAACACCCCATGCCAGATGTGTCCCTGTTTAAATGCCTAAAAATAACTCTTAAGTTGTTCCCTGGCAAATGCTAAGCTGACATAAAGATGAGCTTATGGCAATAATTATATGGCTGCCTTTAAGGTTTATGTTGCACTTGCAATTGAACACACAATTTGGGATTTTTACACTGAGAATGGTCTTGAGGCTACTGCTTAGGAATGGGAGAGAAAAGTTACAATAGAAAGGCAAAGGCCTATAATTAATTTTGTCTAAGAGTTATACTTAAAGCAGGGAACAGACGGACAGATTTTAAATCTGAAAATCCCATCACTTGCCAGCTGCAGCATGTCACATATAACATGGCTCCCTCAAACAGAGAAAAATCCCACTTGAAATGTTGGCTGGTGCCAGGAATATTTTGCCAGTTCTTTTACTGTTACAGAAAGAGTAATTGCTGTTTCTCACAAAATAATATGTAGGATGAGGGAGAAGTTGATATTTAATATTTTACTCAGAGGAAGAGAGAGAAATATGCCAAGGATTAAAATAAAACCGTACAGAAACTTTGTCCTGATGATTCGTTTAACACATGGTGTCCTGATTCTTATTTCCACCCTTCCTATCCCTTTCTTTGTGGTCAGAGAGGTATAACTGGAGTATATTCAATCCTTAAAAAGATTTGGGATGGAACTATAATTCTGAATGTCATCTTGTGACAATAACACTTGTGTTGGTAGTGGTTACATTGAGTTACTTCTTACAGCCTGTAACTCATTTCAATGTGAGTTTTGCTATTTTATGTGGCCTGTTTTCTAAAAACTCTCCTTGCCCATGCTTCCCATTAGCTTCCATAGAAGAGAAGGTCAATCCATTTGTTCATCCTCTGAAGAAAATATTACTGTAAGTGCCAGAGATCTTAATTCATTGTTGAATAATTGTAAAGATTTATTATGACAAGCATAATTGTAGAGATGATCCAGGCTGTTGTCTCTTTGAAATAAGAATGGGAAAACAAGTGTTTAAAAAAAATTCTCTCCGTGTCTTTCATTAGATGAGAAAATGGGAAGAAACATCTGGAGCTGAGTGTGAATTCGAAGGTACAACCTGAAAATTCCCCTGCTGGCTCATTACACCCATTATCTGTCTTCATTTGCTGCCCTTTCTCAGCTGCACCATCCACTGTTTCCTTCTGGACTGCTGTTATTCTCTGCTTCATTGGCTGCTAATGAGTTGAGATACAGAACAGCACGTCTTTTTTCTTTATTCTTTCCTAACGTTTACTGAGGGGCTGAAGGCTTGGTTCACTTATTTATTTATTTATTTTCCCTTCATTATTTGAGAGGGAGAGCCAGGGAGGGGAAGATGGATGACATCCAGCTCAGCACCCATGGGTTTGACTGATCTTCTAGCGGAACTTTTGGTGGCAATGAAAATTACCTCACTTCTTTTAAATCTTAAAATCTGTTTGCTTCTCCCTCCAATGAATCCTTTTTGTGCAGAGCTCTGTTATGTACAGTCTCATGATTTAAGAATTATCATGAAGGTAAATGGGACTGTTCACTTTCAATCCCTATTCTGATCTTGACTATATGGAGAATAATGATTCACAACTTCTCTGCATGTCCATTTCTAGACTGGCATTTTAGTTATTCATGAAAAAAAGCTATCTAGGGGAGGATTCTAGATTCTACATAAGTGTAAGTCTTAATGTTCTGGTGGTTGGGATTTTATTCTTTGCTATTTGTTTTTTTTTTATTTAATTTTTTCTTCCCAATTTGCTTCTCAAGGCAGAAAACAAGGAAGAAAGCAGTTTTTCAGTGTGTCCTGTCTTCTAGTCTCTCCAAAATGAAAATCTCAATAAGGAAATAAATTTTTGGTAAGTTGATTGGACTCTTTCTGCAGTTCAGTAGGTTCCTGTAGGTTCTACCAAAATGATCCCTTAACTGGAACTCTTGGTAATTCCCACCAATGACAAAATCATCAATGTGTAAAGGTAATTATTTTTTTTTAAACTATATAATTATATGATTGACCCTTCAAATAATCTGTAATTAACACTGACATTTCCTGGCTGGCACTGCAATTTGTGAAGTGTGTTTAAAGGTACCCCCACCACAGATTATGAACCACATCAGCCTTTTGAAATTTATCAGCAAAAGTGACTTTTTCTGTGAATGTTTTTATTCTTTTCACGTGGTTTTGGAAACACTTGCAAATTTCTCCTCAGGTAAATAATTTATGGGCACATTTTTCCCTTCTATCCTTAAACTTCAAAATGGGATGAAATGATTTTTGAAACTCAGGTTTTCTCATGAAAGCCAATATTTATTACTGTCTATTGCCTGTGTAGGAAGTGATGACATTTGGATTCTATGGGGATTACTTATCCACATATTTTAATTTATATTTTGCTTTCTAGTAGTTGTGCACAGATGTAAATGTAAACCCAAACTTTGAAGGTGTCATATAATTGCATAAAATAACAATTTCTCAGTCTGAGTGTGTTTTACTCCAAGCTTTTGGCAACTCCCAGTGCTACATGCAAATATGTTTATGCAAATCTCTCTGTCATCAAGCCTAGGAAGCCAGCTCTGCATTGAGAGAGAATCTGTGATGTGAAATTCACCTTTAGGTAGAAAATCAGCATTTCTATTCACACCTGAAATTGTTTTTTGTTATAGGTTTTATAGCCAATGAATTTACAGGCTCTATAGCCACACTGCACTGTGCTAAGGTCTTCTAAAAAAATAATGTGGGAAGGATTTTTCCAAGGTGTGACAGCCTTGACCTAAACTTTGTGACACGAGGTCACAATGGGGTTTCTGCTCCCCTTTATTTGAGGTGCATTTAAAAAAAATACAAGTACAATATTGCAGCAGAACCCAGACGGCAAAGGAGCAAAACTTGGACTTGGAGAGGAACTTTGGGAAACTTCTTCTTCCCCAGGTAGCAGCAAAATTTCTTCTATGAAAGACAAAAGAAATGAGGCAGAGAAGTCGCTAACTAGAACAGATTTGACAGAGGTGTGAAATTGAGTTAAAATAAATTGAATAAAATCTGAACATGAATACTAAGAAATAGGAAATTGTTATCATGGTGTCTGCTTAATTTACAGACTGGGGTATAGATGTGCAGCAGATCAGAAAAGGAGTTGTCTGGAAAAAATATGAAAGGCCAGGCTCAATAAAATATTTCATAGGTAAAGTTTGAAATAATCATATTAAACCAAGTTGAAATGGCTTTAAATCTCTAAATAAAATGTATTTGCATAAAAATATGAGGAATAGTGTGCCGTGCCTCCATGGGCTTATCTAAATCTAACACATGTAAGCCCAGTTTAGAACCATGTGCTTTTGACATCTGCACTTTTTATATCTCATCAGATTACTGGGAATGCAAATAAATAAATCCCTGTGCTTCTCAGAATAAAAGAGTCAGGGAATTCAAAGATCACTGATTTGCCATTAATTCCTAATGACTCCACAGGGTGCAGTGCAGGATTTATCAGAGACATGTCCTGCGCTGGTGGGGAGCTCTGGATGCCTCACAGAGAAGGAAAACAATGAAAATAATTGCCTTGGGGAAATTATTCCTTTATTCTCTGCTTCCTTTTCAGGACTGTGCACAAAGCTATTTACTGAATAATAGTGGAACACAGTTTGGGATGTTCTGATGTTCCTATGAAAATTAGAAGGTTAAATAAGAAGAAGGAAAAAAAATCATGGTAGGCCTTCCTTTAAGTAGAATTTATGTTTCATTTTACTTTAATGCTGGCAGTTGCAATTTGTGATCAGCCTGTGGCTGTGCTGGCAGCTCGTGGCTGGATGCTTTCTCCAGAGCACAGGGAAGCAGATATGTGACATGCTACAGCGAAAACAAGAAAAATCCTCTCTAGGTCAGTCTGAGACAACTTTCAGAAATGTCTAAAAGAAACTCATTACTCATTACCCAACAACAGACAGCACTGAGCTTAAACCATTAAAGCTGAATATTAAAACTTTAAACAGAATTTCAATAATACAATGTGATAATTTTCCATCACATTTGCCATCAATTTTCCTTTATTTTATATCAAATTTCATTTATTTAGAAATATTTATTTTTCTTTATTTAATTCTGGGTTGTGTTTAGGATTTATGAGCTGGCTGTTTTTTCTAAGAAGGCATCTAACAAATTTTGACACAGCCGTTTGATGTCCACTGGTGATAATGAAAATTAAAGTCGCTTTACAGGAAAGATTTTATTTGAATTTATGCACTCCAGTACATGTATGGAAGTAGCTACAAATGTCTTTGACTGTCCATAAATATGAACTGAAATTGAGGTTCATTTTTGTGAAATTTTTGAGAAGAAAGGTCCATCAGGTATCCTTTATGTGTATAGAAAAAACTCCAATAAAGAAGGAATGAGCCTCATAAGATGTTTGAAAAGAGGAGAGTTCATCAAAAATTGGTGAGGATTATTAAAGCCATTGTGGTGAATTTGTGAAGTGAGAACTGAGTGAAGGGAGGTATTTAAAGTAGGGATGATTTAAAGTGGGGATGATTTAAAGTGGGGATGAGCCCCTGTTATTCCAGGGCTCCTCAGAAGAAGGCACGTGGGTTTAGGGATCCCCCCAGTTCTCTGTGCCTCACTGCCCCATTTATGGCTGAGATTGGCCCCCAAATCCCACCCAAATCTGTCTGTGAGGTGGAAATGAGGGGAAAGGAGCTGATGGGGGTGACTGGGCTGCTGGCAGGCACCAGGAGATGCAGAGGAGAGCAGGGGATGCGCTTCATGTGTTCAAAGCAGCGCAGATCTCTGCCTGGATGGGGGAGCCTCTGTTCTGCTTCCTGCCCTTGATAAGAGAGGAGCTCTTTGTTACTGTCCTGGGGTGACGTTCTGATGCTTGTATATCCCCATTCATCTGTTCTGTGCCTTTAAGACCGGCTCTGAAGAGTGGAAGTTTTGTTTGGGTTTCTCTTATCAGGACACAGAGACAAGC